GAAGAAATAGAAGAAGCCTTTGTTAATCATTATAAAGGAATCTTTTGTTGTGATGGGGGCCATAGAGAAGCCTTACAAAGGTAGAGTGGACCAAACTACAAGAATTGCAGGTAGAGGCATTAGAAGACCTTTCACTTTTGAAGATGTTAAGGAAGTAGTGTTTGATATGGAGAAATCCAAAGCCCAGGGCCCAAATGGGTTTTCAATGGCCTTCTACCAATCTTGTTGAGAGATGATGAAGATCTAATGGAGGTCTTTAATGAATATTTTGCTAGAGGGGTAACTCACCCAAGAACTAATGCCACCTTCATTGCACTTGTCCCAAGGAAATCCCAAGCAAATCATCTAAGAGATTATAGGCCAATTAGCCTTGTAGTCAAGATGCAAATGGATTGAATTGAATTTGGATAGGGGTATATTCGAATTCAATTCAATAGGACATATCTCATATTCGAATACAATTCAAATCCAATCAAATATACAAAATTTAGAGTTGAACTTGATTCGACGGACAATCGGATATCCGATTCAATTTAGTTAGAGTACAGAGTACCAAAAATCAAAAGAAAAATAAAGAGATAGATCAAAGAAAAAATAAGAAGAGATTTAGACATATTTGAGTACTTCTAAGAGATTATGCATTTGAGAGTGTGCAAGATTTCTCTTCTTTAGCTATTTTTCACTAACCCAATACCAATGAATGACTCCTCTTTCTTGACATCTTGTTATGGCTTGAAAAGAGAGTGATCAATTAGTGGCATATACCTTGAAATCCCAAAGCGGTGGTTGTAGCGAAGAGGTGAAGAAGAGGATGGAAAGGTTAGGGTTTGGGAAAACAAAGAGACAAAATTAGAGAAATTCCTCACCAGTTCCAAATATATATAGAGAGAGAGGGTAGGAAGAAGAAATACCTCGGGTGTTGGATTGAAGGAGTTTGCATCCCTATCATTGTTTTGGTTCTCACGAAGTGGAAAGCTCCTAATTCCAAAAAGAAAAGCTTCTTCCTTCTCAAAACTCTTTTTGGTTCAAAGACCAAAAATATATAATACAAAATATAAATGTTTAGACTCCATGTTTCTCGAGACTTGCATTTGAGGCTTGGGTCTATAAACTGTCAACATAGGCTTTATAGACTTAACAAAATAAAAAGTCATTTTAATATAAAATATTAATGAGATAATAATTATATACAATATAATATATAAAACATATATAAATATTTTTTATCGGATCAAATTGGATTTTTCAAATCAAATCAAGGGGTGATTCAAATTCGATCCGATTTTCAAATGGATCCTATTTTTTAATTCAATCCCATAGGAGGATATCTGAACCCAACAAAATAGGATTTTATTCAAATTCAAATCAGATCATGATCCAGTTCATTTGCACCCCTACAACCTTACCTTGTGGGAAGCCTCTACAAGATCATTGCAGAAGTCCTTTGAAAAAGGACAAGAGGAGTGTTGTCAATGCTGAATCTCTCAAAATCAGGGAGTCCTTGTCAAGGAAAGGCAAATTGTGGACCACATTCTAATTGCTACTGAATGTGTGGAGGATGAGAATAAAAAAGGTGAGAAAGGTGTAGTATACAAACTGGATTTAGAAAGGGCCTATGATTTGGTGGACTGAGTTTTTTATTCGGGTCTTGGAGAAGGTTGGTTTTGGCAACAAGTGGTGTAAATGGGTTAGGAGGGGTTGTCTTAGCTCTTTCCATTATTCCATCTTGGTTAATGGTGTGGCAAGAGATTTCATCCTAGCAAAGAAAGGCCTGAGGTAGTAGGCAAGAGGATCCCCTCTCATTCTTATTCATGTTGGTGGTTGATGTGTTGAGTAGATTGACTATAAAAGTAGACTCAGACAATCAAATTAGGGGTTGGAAGGTGGGGAGAGATTAGGTTTTGGATACACACCTGCAATTTACAGATGATATAATCCTGATTTCTAAAGGAGAGGAAAATTATATGAACCTAAAAGGGCTAATAAGTCAATTTCAGAAAGTTTCTAAATTAAAAGTGAACATGGGGAAAAGTTGTGTGGCAGGAATAAATATGTCGGATGGAGAGACAAGTGGTTGTAAAGGTTCTAGACAATGAAACCAAAAATTGGCCTTTGGAGTACCTTGGCCTACTTATGGGTTTTTTGGAAGATAGTGATTAAGAGATTTTCAAAGAAATAGGCCTCGAACTATATCTCCGGGGGGGGGGGGTAACCTTAATAAATCTACAATGGCAATCCAAACGATTTACTTCCCGAGAAAGGATAGAAGGTGAAGTGGAGGGTGGTTAGCAAATAGCAAACCTAAAGAGCAAGGTGGCCTAGGCCTAGGGAACTTAATACATGGTAATACTACTCTACTTGGGAAATGACTATGGAGATTTCCTTTGGTGTCATGGACAACAGTTGGGATACAAAAGCTTTTACTCTCTTGTTTCCTTTGTCCCCTTGGAGATCCATTCAAAAGTAACTTCTTTCTTGAGCTTCATTAGATATGGTGTTGTTTGTGGAAATAGAATCCTTTTTTGGGAGGAATTATGGTTTGGGTAACTCTCCTCTAAATAAGTAGTTTCTTTTGTTACAATCAAGGTTGACAATTTTAAGAGACTTATTGAGACACACATAGATACGGGCGAAAAATCTGGATGCGCATAAATATGCTAGGAAATTCAACTAAATCCTAAAAAATATATTAATAACAATAGTTACAAGTTTTACATGATTGTAAATAAGTTAATTAAATGTAAAAGGCCATAATTAAATGGTTTATATAAAGTTTGAGATATTGAAACACAATTAGCAACTAAAATGTGTATGGAAATACATTAATTTTCAAATAATCAATATGATTTATCTTAATATTTATTAATGTACAAATTTTAAGAATTAATCCTCACATTTATTGAGAAGCATCGACTAAGAAAAAGAGAAAATTTACTTAAAAATAAAAATGCACATAGCAATAGAAAACAAATGGGTGTGGCTTAGTGGTGAACTTCGTTCGTTAAAACCTAATGACCAAGGTTCAAATCTTTCTATTGCTAAACTTTGTAGTTTTATACTAACAAAACGAAGTTAATGAAAGAGAGGAGCATTAATTAATGAAGTTAATAAGAGAGAATTCCAATTAGGCACTAAAATTTAAATTCAAATTTAAAATTATGCTTTAAATTATAGGAGCAATTAACTAATTAATGAGAGAGAGAGAGAGAAATTACACTTAAATATAGTAGTAACTAACAAAACAATGAGAGACAATTTGGCCTTAAATATAGTTTAATGAAATTAATGAGAAGGAGACCCAAAACGAATTAAGTGTATGGGCTGTATCAGACTTGTGCCGGAACAATACATATCAGTCAATACGGTCTGATACGTTGCAAAATTTTGAACCTTGGTTATACTTCCTCTCTTGGTATCATATAAAGAGCCTATTTCTAAATTGTGTTCTCTTTTGGTTTAAACTGGGATTTTGGCTTCAGCAGGGTTCTTAGTTATACTCTATGGCTGCCTTGTTATCTATGCTCAACTCTGTTTTTTGGACCCACACAAAGCAAATAGTTGAATTTGAATTGCTTCCCTTGATGGCTTCATTTCCTGTGCCTCTTTTCTTGGATTGCTTTCTCCCATGGCTTCTTTTCTTGTGCTTCTATTTTCAATGCCTTAACCTCACAATCCTTTGCAGTAACTTATCCTATGAAAGAAATTTGGAGTAGATCAGTCCCACCTAAAATAAAGGCTTTTTGCTGGGAAGAATCTCTTGGTAAGATCAACACCTGTGATGTACTCCAAAGATGGCCCAATAAATTCCTTTCACCTCATGCATGCATTCTTTCCAAAGCAAACGGTGAGAGACCATCCTCTATTTACTAATCATTTGCCCTTTTGTGAATTGTGTTTCGAGGTATTTTTGCTCCCTCTTTAGTTGCAGGTGGGAACCTCCTCAAGATGTAGTCAAACCTCTTCATCCCTAGTTTCATGAAACTATCAAAAAAGAGAGGAAGAATATTGTGGAGGGAAACAAGAGCAACTCTAGTGTGGACTATTTGGGAAGAATGGGATTAGGAATGGGCAAATATTCAAGAAGTATAGCATAAAAGAAGAAAATAATAAATAGTAAAAAGGTGATGGTAGCACATTGAGCAAAAACAATGGAAGCCTTTAAAGCTTTTTTTGTGGATGATATTATGAGACCATGGGAAGCCATGAGCCCGTGACAACTCCACAACTGTGAAAGATAGTGGTGTTGGAGTGGAAACCCCCCTTAACACAACATAAGTCTGAACTTTGATGGAAGCTCAGCAGGTAAATCATGGACCCTTTGGAATTAGGAGGACATTCAGAAATGGAGAAGGTGTGGTGCTACCTTTGTATCGTGATTGATTGAACATGGAAAGTCATTGAAAGATGAAATTCTATCTCTCTTACAAGAGCTGAAACTAGCTAAGTGGCTCAGAATGAAACAGGTGGAGGTCGAAGGAGATTCAAAACTAGTTATATCTTGGATGAGCTGCAAGAATCCAAGTGCCTGAACATTATGCACTGCTTCAGGCTCGGGCTTCAGCTGGGCAGATTCAAATTTTGGCAAAAGCTCAACCCAAGCCCGGCCCATAAACATGTCTAATTTAGGCAAACTATAAGGGAGAAAAGAAGCTTGGCAACAGAAGTGGAAGCTGCCTTTAGATGGGAGAAGAACAGCAAACAGGTTGGCTGATGTCCTAGCAAAACAAAGGGTTTATAGGGAACAATTTTTGGGTTTAATTGTAATGGGTTGCTGGATAATGTTCCAAATCTGTGTAATGATTTAAAACTCATTTAACAACAGTAATTTCTGTTGCTGATAAAAAAAAAGAAAAAGAAAAACTCTAAACAAACTTTGCAGGTAATTTCCAATTTCTTACAAGATATGCAATATGAAATGACATGCCACTAACTGAAAATGAGAATACCCAATATGATTTGAGTTGAGTGTAAAGAATGAAAAGAAACTCATCTGTACACACCTGAATTCGTGCTCCAGACCTACTTTGCATGTTCTTAATGGTCTCACCTCCCTTACCAATGATTAGAGCAACCTAGAAACAAAAGTAGAAGTATATTATGTAACCCTGAAAATATAATCCAACCATAAAGATAGATCTTCCAGTATTACCTTGTTGTTTGGAACTTTCATCATAAATTGTTCAGCACCCGGCTGCACAGAACTTAATCCATGTATGGCAGAAGGACCAGAACCCCCTGCATCTGTCTGTTGCATCCAATAAAGAAAACATGAGCTGTGAAGGCCTAGAACCTTGTGATTTGGGATTACAAAATTAAATGTATTGATAACAAATTTTTTAGTGCAAGTACACCTCTGCAATTACATCCTTGATTAACTGTTCTGCCCTGCTAATTTGCTCTGCTGTACCCATCAATTCTACATCTCTTGTCTGAGAGTATGGATCAGCTTCAGCATCCTTGGTTACTTGGATTCTGGCTCCTGATTGAAGTTGAAGGTATTTTATTGTTTCTCCACCTTTCCCAATGATCACACCAACCTATAGAGCAAAAAGGTCAAAAAAAAACAACAATTGAAAACATGCACCAATTTATTTCAAGAACCAAAAAACAACTAACCAGTACCTTTCCATTTGGAATCTCTATTTTTTTACTTGTGCCTTGAAAACCATGATATTGGCCTGGTTGTGAAGCATATGGAAAAGACCCAATTTGTGAGTTGCCTGCCACCAGACCGGAAGGCTTCTGCACAGGATCTTACATACCAACAGAAACTTAGTGTGAGAAATTGTCAAAAGTAATAATAGAAAACCCATCCCCAGGTATCAAAAGAAACTGTACATTAAACAGAAGGTATATATATACACACACTAGGAACATGCATGTAGAACTTTGAAGTTTGAACACAAGTTCTAGATAATGGAACTATACACAATTCTAAGAAAAGCTACAAGATTTTTACATTCAGGGTTTGAATAACTTTTTGAGAGAAAAAGGTAAAAGTATTTATTAATAGAAGACTGAAAGAGATACAGCCTTGCCCACTGAGGCACTAAGCAAGGCTGAAAGGTGGATAATATTGTGAATAGATTACAAATAACAACTAAATAGAGTTAAAATGGACAAACAACTAGTATAACATATATGACTGATTGACTGTTGACCTTCAAAAGGAACATACTGGCACTTCTTGAGGTTATAAAAGCACTTGTTTGCAAGAAAAATAGAAGATAGGATAGTTTGGCTACAAAGATCTCAAATTGAGAAGCTCATCTAGAAAGGCTTCACATCAAATGACTAGAAATATATCAGAGTGTCTGGCTTACATTCCTTACCAGCTTTTTTTCTTTTTTAAACTAACTTGCAATTGAAACAACTCAAACATCAAAGCTCGGATAAAGCTTTGACCTTTTTTGTCCACACAATCCAAGTAGCTCAAGCAGCACATATTCAAAGTTCAAACTAAACTGGAAAGAGATTACTGATTACCAGAGAAAGGAAACACAGTTAAGAAACCAACTTGGTGCCTAGAATTGTTCAAAACCACCAAAGGAAAAGAAGATCTTTGAGAAACTGTATTCACTCATCCCATTTCTTGCAGATTCCCAGTGCAAAGACAAAAGGATTCCCCTATTTGGGAATTGGGTTTGCTACACAAGTCATGTGCAGGAACAGAGCTGCACCACCCCAGGAATCTAATGACTAATAAAGTTCCACTTGTTGGCCAGATCACCCTCTGCTGATGGGAAGTGTTTGGATTCAGTAATCCATTGCCACATGGATAGTGAGAAGGTATCTCAAGTGGGTTTTGGAAATGGTTGAGACTCGAGTTCCCTTGAAGGCTAAAGCAACTAGGTGGCATGCCAATTGGCTAGAGACTGTTACTTTGAAGCTTCTTACCTCACAGACAGTATGCCACATGCTCAGTTAGAAAGGGGAACAGCAAATCGACCATGATTACTTTCCAATTACAAGTTTGTCTTCTTCATTCAGGGCTCTAACCACAGCTCAAGGGAGGGAGGAAGGGAGAGAGAGAGAGATGGTGATGTGGCAGGCGGTATTAGAACAGGTGCAATCGACAGCATCAGGCATTCTCAAATCCTTTTAGCAAATTAGCTGTCTTCAACCCAGATTGGCTGCTGCATGGATCGACATTGAAAACCCAGTTTTACCCAAACGTACTTGCTATTTTAACGCAAAGCATCCACTGAAGTGAAAATAAATTAGGTAGATAATTGGAATCAGAGACTCTGATCATTTTGCCCTCTCCATCTCTCTCTTAAACAAATGGAAGAAAAAGGAAAAGATTGGATAAGTTCAAATTTTGGGTTTTGGATATGCAATAAAGAAAAGGGCAAAATGGTTTTGTAAAAGTTCAAAACTGAACCAATGCTAAAGGTGGGAGCAGAGTGTTGGATTCTGAAAGTACATGGTAGCTCTCTGTTGTCACTACCCCCAAAGTATAAGGTAGTTCTCTGTATTTTACTCCACATATTAATTTTGTGTAGGTCTGAACAAATATACATAAATATTATCAGATGAGATTGGAGTGGATCCATATTCAATAAAATTATAAATTGATAGAACTTGAATTGCCTTAATCGGATCAAATTCAAATTTTGACAAATGTAAGAGAGAGAGAGAGATCTGTGACACATTTATACATTTTTTTTGAGAAAAATTAACAATTTTATTAATAAAAGAGCAAGGGGTACATGAGGAGATGTACAGCTGCAGAAAAGACTCAGGCCAAAGAATTTACATAGGGTAACATACAGTCACTAAACAAAGAGTCCCTATGGATCCCTGATTTATCTAGACCGTCAGCCATTGAGTTTAGGTCCCTAGGATCCATCTAATCTGACAATTAACCAAGCCATAATATCTCTTGCTTCATCCAGTTAGTGCATTAGGAGCCAAGCCCATTATTAGTACTAACAGTACATTTATTTATAAGACACTATGTGCTTTCGTCAATTGTAATAAATAATTTGCTATTTAACTATTCCAGTTTTTCTACCAGTGGCTTCACTTGGGTGCTAAAGGAGTTTTATGCCTTGGGTTGTTTGGAAACATGGAATCTAATAGCAAGGTTCTTGCTTTTGGAGTTGTTAACTTGTCATCCTTGTAATTTATTTAGAAAAACAACCCCATCTACTCTCAAGAGCAACTGATCCTCAAACCATCTCGACAAAAGATGAGTTATATAATGATCATGCTACACGCATGCCACGACCTAGAAATGCAGTGTTTAAAGAACCAGCCAGCCACAGAAAGGGGTAAAAAATAAACACCGTATTATGCAGTCAGAGGTATAGAAGTTTATGGCGAGAATCCAACAAGATAGTAGTACTAACTGTTTTGCTAGGGTTTTCTTCCATTGAACTTAGGTTGATCTGAGTTGCACAAGCGTATCTTTTTGTTTTTTCTTCTTCTTCCTCAATCTCCAAGCTACTAGTATATTGCATTCTAGTGAACCGAGTACACCAAATAAACCAGCTTTCATATACGCCAGACGGTTGGTTAAAGAATTCACTGACCAATGCTTCGTTCAGTCTTTCTATGTACATCCAAGAGTTCAGTCATTAGCTTACGATGATTCTTACAGGAAACAGGCAATACCAGGGTTTAGGGTTGTATAAGTAAACTACTCCACAACAAGAGAAACGGCAGTATCGGAGGACGAACTTCATTCAGATGATGAACAAATAAAATGTTTATCCATAGAAACGGTCGATGCCCAAGCAAACCAAGAAAGCAAAAGAACCTCAAATGGACTGAAAGCGATGAAGGAGAAACTTACCAGAAAATGGAGGGTGAGAAAGGGAATCGTCAGAGGAGGGAAGGTCGGAGGTGTCGTCGAGGCGAGGGCGCTTGGCTTCAGCACTGTTAACGAGACGAGCGACAATCTCCTGAGCTTTCTGCTTCGCAAGCTGGATTTCTTCCAACTTTCTCTTGCTTGTGTCTGTTTGTGTTTCTTCTTCCGCCATGTCCTCCGAGGTCAGCAAACAATCTTTTCAAGCTCTTCGGAGAGAGTTCGCAAACACACGAAAGAGGGGAAGAGAGAGAGAGAGAGAGAGAGAGAGAGAGAAGGTGAAGGAGGGAGCGAGAGAAGCAGAAGATATAATGGCAGAGAAGCTGATGAACGAAGTAGCTGGGGGCTGGGGGCCTGGGGCAGATATTATAGTGGAAAGGAAGTGTTGGGATGAGAAAATCCGTAGGTTCGGGCATGCCCTCACTTGTATGTCTTCCCAATTTGACGACTTCGGTATCGCACTATTCAGTAAATGACATAACAACCCAACCCTACCCTACCCCACCCCCTCAAAACTTCGAAGTTGAAATTGGAAGTAGGCAATTAGAGGAACAACCCCAACTTCGAAGTTTTTTTTGGTTAATCAACAATGACTTTTCCCTTTCCCCTTTACCCCCCTCCCTTTTTTTCTCAAAGTGTGGTTTGCGGGATTTGATTCTGCGTCGATGTTGGGACAATCCAACTTCAAAGTTGGAACTTGAAAGTAGACCTGTTAATGGGATAGGTAGCGGATGGGCTGGCCTAGCCCGATCTAAGTTGAGCTTGGACGGGATTTGAGGCCCATGGGCTCGGGCCTAAAATATCAGGCCTGACCTTTTTTCAGACTAGATTCGGGCTTTCTTAAAAAAGCCCAACCCAAGCCCGAGCCTAACTTGATAGTGTATTATATAATAAAAATATATTTTATATAATAAAATATATATAATATTTTTTTCTTTATTATTCTTCTCTTTTTTTTCAAGTAATAGCAATATCTTTCATTATTTTTTTAGGTTTTGAGTTCTTTTAATATAAATAAAATAGTTTTTAATTGAATAAAAAAAAGAAAACTATTTTTTCAAATTTCTAGTTGGGCTTGCTCGGGCCCGAGCTTCAGGCTTTATATGAGGATCAGGTTCAAGCTCAAGACCTAGGCTCGATGATCAGGCCGGGCTTGGGCTCAGGCCTAAGCATATTCTACTAATGTAAAGGCAAAGCCCGGCCCAGCCTAGCCCGTAAACAGGTCTACTTGGGAGTAGGCAATTAGGGGTATACCAATGTTTTAGAAACCGACTGGAACTGGAACCATTTTGTTCACCGGTTTTTAGGTTAATCGGTTCGAACAAATGGCCCATTCCAATTTAAAAAATAAAAAAAGCAAAAACCGTTGTTCGGATTGAATGGGTCGACTGTTTGACCACCTAGGTCAACGGGTTGCTAACCAAGTCAACGGTTTTGGCCAAAAAATGAGTTTAATGTGAAATAGAACCAATTGCCTAGATGGTTCCTAAGCCGAATGATCCGATCATCCGGTTCAACAATGGTTCAAAAACCATGCTGGATAAAATGTTAGTTGAGTCCAATATTAAATTATTCGAACTTGGTTTTGGCATAAAATTGCTCAACTAAGTCTTTGACAAAGCTCAAAATATATATAAACTCAATTATGCTCGAAGGTTTCACCAACACATCTTTGTACCATTTGAGTTTGGCTCAATTGGTATCAAATTTATATATTGGGCTCAAGCTCTACATGGGCGCCAAAAAAGTGGTCATTGGTGGAGAGTGCCAGCTATTCTTAAAAAGCAAGATTAAATCAAGTATACTCCACCCCTACCATTTTGCTCAAGTGATTAGGATTTAATATTGACCAAACGCATCCCCTTGCAAAGAAATAAGAAAAATAAAGAACTACCCTATATTTTGGGCAATGGGATATCTTACAAGCAATGTTTTCAAAATTGGATTGGACTAGATGGTTGGATCAGAAAAATCGGGAACCGGGAACCGGTCACCTAATTGGTTTTATTTCACCCCAAAACTATCTTTTTGCCAAAAACCGTTGATTTGGTCAATGAACTACTGACCTGGGCGGTTGAACCATTCGAACCGTCGACCCAAACAACAATTTTTGGCCTTTTTTTGTCAAAATGGGTCGTCTATTCGGTTCAAATGGTCAGACCACTCAACTCGGGAACTAGACCCCTGAATGGTTCGTTGTCTGGCTCAGTTTTAAAATCCTTGCTTGCAAGCAAAATTTTGCACACTATAAGTACATGCATCCATCCATACGTTGGAAACATCTCCTTACGAATTTAAGACACACATACATGAGATATTCCTGATGTGTGGTTGGATGTGTACGGAGTTTTTTGCTAGGAGATATAGCTTGTATTTTGGGGGGCCTGAACTTTCATTTGCTACATAAAGCTACCTTGTACTTCTAGATTTTAATACTCTCATGTTTTGGCATTAATTACTCTTTTAAGTGAGAAGTACAAACATTACATCAACATCCTCAACTAAGCACACAATTCTTTTTCTTACAAAGATAATGATAGCAGGATTCGAAACCACACCACCACTGGGACAATTCATCCAATGCACCAATTGGATGAACTTTACAACCAATCTCTTTCTCTAAATAAGGCAAAATGGTTTTATAAAAGGTTAAGACTAAGCAAAGTGTTGGAATTTGAAAGTACAAACTATTGAGTGGCTCTATATCACAAATGAAAGTTTGGGGGCTAAGTGTCACTAGCCCCAAAGCACATTATTTTACCCTATTATTTTCAAGTCAAAATGGGAGAAGTTTTCATTTTGTAACAAAATAAGTCATTATTGATTGTAGTAAATGTGCTCTCAAATGGAAAAATGCTTATATATAAAAATGCTTTGAAGCCCGATTGACCCAAAAAAAAGGAAGGTTAAATGTGTTTATTTAGTCAGCCATATTGAAAGACCTGTTTTTCTCCTTATTAGTTCCCTGACATTACACTGTACAATAGAAAAGATAGAACCTTGGAAAGATTAGAATTGCTTATTGAAAAACAAGTGATCTGGCTGCCCCAAGTGAGCACTTTTTGCGTCCACCCTGGATTGATGCACAAGCACAAGTCTCTAAAAGCTCATAGTCCTCATCCAATAACAACATGGATGCCTTCTCTGGATTATTCAATAGCATTTTGGATGTTAAGTACCCAGCAATCGTCCATGTTTGAAAGAGTCGTGATTGCTTCCCAATGAACCTTCCACTATAAGTGTCATAATATTCAGGCCACTGGTCCACTGAGAGCTTCCTCTCTGCTAAAGTAATTGCTTTTCTTGCCAATTCTGGCTTTCCCATCTTGATACAAGCCAATGTCAACTATAATATCATAAAGAAATAAGGTTAGAGAAGAATAGCCAAAACCGTGCAACAACAACTTATGCCCCCCCCCCCCCCATGCACACACAAGTACCATCCCAAAAGGCAAACATGCATGAATATCCACCCAATTTGGAGGGCATTCTACAACATGAATGTTTTTGGAATTGCCACATCAGTAAAAAAAAACATGTTCTTGAATTCTATTTTCGTTTCCAAAAGGAAAAACAAGTTGGTTTTGTTTCATAATACAATACATGTTTTTGGAACCAACAAAATATTGGACTCTATTTTTGTTTCCAAAAGAAAAAACAAGTTGGTTTTGTTTCAGAACGCAATACATGTTTTTGGAACCAACAAAATATTGGTTTTTAAAACAAAAACATTAGTATAGATATTATATGATTTATGGAACATGAATTTCAATAATCATATGAAAATATGTTTTTGAAACCAGATTCAAGAACATGTTTTTTGTGTTTTTATTTTGAGAAACAATTTGTTTTCAAATCAAATGGGTTTGATTTGATTTTGGAACCAACAACAAGAAAAACAATTCACATTTTAGATTGCCCCCTTGGTTAAAGTAGTCAAATCATGCATTATTGAATAATGGGTTCAGAAATGCAAATGTTAAGATGGATGAGAGAGAAAACTAGAAATGATGGTATCAAAAATGAACTATGGAAAAATCCAGGAATATTTCTAATATGTGATAAGATAGGAAAAGTTATGTTACAAATTGAAGGGGCTAGAACAACTAGGTAAGAAGGACATGGGCCGAATTAGTGAGAAATGGTTAAGGGCCCATAATTTAATAATGGATATGGTAGTAAATATAATAGAATGAAGAAATTGGGTTCACGTAACCAACCCCATATAGATGGAATAAGACAGAGAAATGCGATGATGACATACCTGCCACAAAAGTGTTGGCCATGATCCACCATTATGATATGACCAAGGGCTATAAAAGCCAATACATAAAAAGGAAATTAAGTATCTTCAACTAGTTGCACAATTAAGCAATATCCAATACATAGTTAGCTAAAAAGGTAACTCACGTATTCTTTGGGTCACTACCCGTGATTAAGCGCCACTCATCATACTCCAAAGCAGGGTAACATATCTTAAGAGGCATATGCCCCATAAGATCAACCCATTTGTCTTCAATTAGAGTCAATATACCCTCATTCTGTTTTGGAGTGGCCAAAGATGAAATAATGGACCAAAGGTTTCCAAGTGTAAAGAGCCTAAAATCCATGTGAGCTGGCTGCAAATTGCCTATAAGATAACCACCGTTCTCGGGAATCCAGTCTACTAGCCAAGAGGGAACTTGGTCAGGATAGATATTGAACTTGTTAATGGCATTTGTAGAGTATTCCTCTGTCTTGTAACGATATATCTCATTAATCTTCTTCCTATCCACCCAGTAATACTCTCTAATGTGAAATGACAATGCACGGAGTCTGTTATTAATAGCAGTCACTAGATTCTTAGATTCATCATTGACAATTAGCATTTCCCGGGAAAACCTTAGAGCTGAATAGAACAATGCCTAACAAAAAGCCAAAATGTAATCAATGTAAAAAAGTTGGAAACAACAAAACGAGACCAAGAAAGAAGTAATCAAGCAACTCCTATGTTTATGTACATTAGGGTACCCCATATTTAACAAAAAAAAAAAAAACCGCTATATGATGAGTTCCTTAAGCCACACCCAATAAAAATTAGATACCAGCCAACTTCTCTCCAAACTGTAAAAATGTGGGATTTCTTATCACTTCAACCAGGAGTCCAAAGTCTCTCTCTTTTGTTTACTTGTTTCCATTATGTGTGCCATATTTCATACTAGGTCATGGTGAATCCTATAGTTTTAAGTTAAAAGGAAGGGGATAGTTTGTTCAAAACACATGTATCACTAAGGTCATCTTAGCAATAGAATACCTGTTCCTTTTTATAAGAATGCTTTTTTTGTTATGCATTCAAGTCATCCACAAAGAAAGATGCATGGGCATTAATGATATCAAACTACACCAATGTATTTTCCAACATTTTTCTTAATTATGATTATGCTACTGGAAGGTTACTTCTTGGAGAAGGTGGAGGAGGAGTAATTGGAGATTGTCATGGAAAGATTGTATATGCTTTTATAACATTACTAGCAGTAACCCGTGTGATGCATGGGTTGCTATTTAAGGATGCATTTTTAAGGGATAAATGAAGTAATAGAAAATTACCAATTTTTTTTTATATATTTCTAGTTCATTACATATAAAATAGTAGAAAAATTATCTTTCCTTTTTAGTTATTAAGCTTCAAAATTATTCCTTTATATAGCTTATATATTATAAGAGTTCTTAAGACTTTTATATAAGAAGATTGGTTGACTCCATGTATTGGGTAGGCACTGGGTTTAGACATTAGTTTGGGCCCAAGCTAGGGTTCATGTTTAGATTAGTTCTTAACCTAACCCCTTTCATCTAATTTACATCCCGTAATTTATTACAAAGACCCAAAGGGATTAAGAGAGATTTAAGAGGGAGAAAGGGATTTAATGGGGAGGGGAGATGTTACAAACATTGACTATTAAGGGGGAGAAAGAGAAAGGCTTAAGAATGATCTTATTAGAGAGTAAATATGGATTTTATAAGAGACAATGAAGACTCGTGCGAGTTTTAATTTTGATGACTTGTTATATTTTTAATAATTTCATTTAAAAATAAGTATGCACATATGGGAGAAGGGAGGGGAGGGGAGGCACATGTAAGCTATGTGGTAAGAGAATCCCTCACCTCCCTTGCTTTATATATATATTATATATATCTATATATATATAGATGGATAGAGAGAGAGAGAGAGAGAGAGAGATTACAACCCAACAAACAACAAGGTGATAAGGGCACATGTAAGCTAGTGATTCACCAAAGATTTTATATATTTCTAGTTCTTTACGTATAAAATAACAGAAAAACTAATTTTCTTTTCCTTTTTAGTTACTGAGCTTTAAACTTACACACACACAAACACACATTTAGTATGAGAACCAACTGATGGTGGCTTTAGTTTAGTTAATAGATTCTTTGGCTAGTTGTAGCAGAGACCTGTATCAAATCCTGCTACCATCAAGTTTGGGGGTTAAGGGTTTGGTGTATGGATTACCCCTTGTTGTAGTTCTATAAAGCCAAAAAGTATGCTTAGCATGAGAACAATAACCAAGTTAAAAGAGTAATTTCAAAATTGAATCGACAAAAATAACCAAATGCTCATGTTAAGTGCTTTCTTTACTACATTTTATTATTGAACAAAAATAATCCATGAAAAAATGTCTATATTAAATTAATAAAAAATAAAGAAAAACCTAATAACCCATGGAAAGGAGAAATGGTCTCTTTATACTTTTATATAAGAAGAAAATTGGTTCGCCCCATGTATTGGTGGGCAAATTTGGGTTTTGACATTAGTTTGGGTCAAAGCTAGGGTTCATATTTAGGTTGGCCCTTAATTTAACCCAATCCATCTATTTAACACCCCTACTTTATTAGATAGAATCAAAAGGATTAAAAGAGATTTAAGAGGAAAAGAGGGATTTAATGGGGGAGGGGAGATGTTACAAATATTGACTATTAAGGTGTGTGTGTGTGTGAGAGAGAGAGAGAGAGAAGAATGGTCTTATTAGAGAGTAAATATGGATTTATGAGAGGCAATAAAGACCCATGTGAATTTTAATTTTGATGACTTGTTATATTTCTAATGATATAATTTAAAAATAAATATGCACATGTACGAAAAAGGAGAGGAGGGGGAGGCACATGTGAGCTATGTGGTAAGAGAACCCTTTATATATATACGGCCCAACAAACAACAAAATGATAGGGACTAGATAGATAATTCATGGCTCTAGAGCTCAATAATATTACAATAAACTATGACCCATAGTCCATTTAAGGCATCATGAATAAATGCTTTTTTTCTGTACCATGGCAATCGTTACAAGGTATTTGAGGTAGGCTAAATTGTTATCTAGGTGATGATAACTCATTGTGCTTAACATATTGTTTGTGTTCAATTCCCTACTTGCCAATCTTCCAATTACCATTCCTAGAATAAATATACTAGTCACTAAAACCACCAAAAAATGACCTAAGCCATATAGAAGAGTTTATAGAGTACAAATCAACATATCAGAAGATAACCTATTGACAATTGTAAATGGAGAAAAGGAGGGAAAAGGCAGGCATTCAACTTAGTTGAAAAGAAACCATCGTCACTTTCTTGAAAAAAGAACTAACCTAAAGCAAGGGATAACTTGTATGGTCCACACACGCACATAAGCCTGCTATAATTAAAAGCTAAAATATACAAAAGGGATAACTTGTACGGTCTATACTGAGTAAACCCAACTTACTTGGATCTCAAGGGGGTGGCCATGAATACCCAATCGACGATCTACCATGCAGGAGGCATCCGTGACTAATAAAGAAGGGAACATGTCAAACCCATCCGTCAAACACAAATTTAGAATTAATTTTATGCCGGTTTGTGCGTCAGCCCTTTCTTGCAATGAATAATCACCTGTGATCCTTCCATAAGCTCTTAACAAGATAATCCACCATAGCCCTATCAAAGCAATCAAAAGAAAAAAAATCAAGAAGAACAAAGAAACAAAAATTAGAGTCCAAACCCCCATTGATGTTAGCATATATTGGTGAAAGTAGTAACAATACAAAATTCTAACTCCCGAAGATCATGTAAGTAACAATATGTATTGTCTTTATAGTTTATACCATAAAACACTTACCGGAATCAACTGGGGCAACACGTCCAATAGCTGACTCACCAAAATCTGGATCTAGAACTTCCTCAAATTCTCTAGTATTAGAATCAAGGTTTACAGTTGTAACCTTAAAACTTGCTGGCATCAACCCTTGCCCTGGGCTGTAGCAATCCACAGTTTTCTCCCAACTCTAAGTACAAATATAATATGACAACATTTAAAATTTGGAAATTGAAAGCTTAAAAGTAATAAATTGTGCAAGTGCTCTTCCACATGATCAAAAATTCTAACCAACACTACCAACAAACAAGAATAGAGAAGGCTCATTATTTTCATGCAATGAGAAATGTAACTCTCATGCACACACCAAAAATAAAATTGTCACATAAAGAATATAATAAGAAAACGAAAGACTATTGGTAACTACAGAAATTAGAAAGTAACATTAATATAAAATCTCATCCGTTTACCAAATATATACTAACCCTACATTTACTATGGGAAGTAAACCAAATGCAGTACTTATAACATGTGAGGAAATGATAACCCCAATAAAAGGAATACATGCAAACTGAATTGGAACACAAGAAAGCCCATCTTAAATATATTATAACTTAACAACAAATCAAATATCAGTATAAGCCTTTTGCTTATACATTTGAGGTAGAATCTATTCCTTTGTAAATGAACACAACTTTCTAAGCTGAAATGCTTCAGCTACTGTTTCCACCATTTATAGCAAAATCCTATTTTTCACCCTTTCTAATTTGTTTTGGTGTAAATGGCATGGAACAACATTTCTGTGGTAGGAAGGGATGAAAAGATAGCTTAAATATTTGAATTTCTCTGATCATTTTTACGTTAAAAGAAAAGTAGCCTAAGGGAAATGGCCAATATAATCCATGTGAAACCCTCTTAGTTGGAAATTTCTTTAGAATAGCTGCAAAATTAATTCTTTGATAACTCCAATACAATGCAAGAAATCTAATAGAAAAAAAATTGTATTATCACCTGCAATTGCAAAGTATGGAGAAGAAAATTTCTAACGATCTCTCCTTCTCCTTGAAGCAAGAAGGCAAGCGCGGACGGGACAAAATCACGAATGAATACCTGGTCGTAATTGATCGGTTGCTCATCGGTAGGATCATTGGCGGCAACAGTCCCGACTGGTCTTCCACAATAATAGACAACCGCATTCTGCATCAACTTCCATGCCTCTTTTTCAATCTCCGAGGTCTCAGTTATGCATGTTGAAACCTTAGCAGCCTGCTTCAAATCTTCTGAACTCCCTATATTTACATTTAAACAACTATCTCCTCTTATTGGAGGTTGTACTTCTTTCTGTCCTTTGCCTACATCAACACTTTCAATCCTTTCAACAATAGGAGGCTTCTTGTTGATTTCACCTTGAATGTATATATTGTCTAATTTCTTATCATTAGCATGACACTCAACGGAAGTAGGTTGCTGGATGTCAGAAGCAACATTAGAAATGATAGAAGTGCCTCTGTCTTTACCAACATCACAATAATTAGACAAAACCCTTGATTGACCCCAACTCGAATCAGGAACATGAAATGGTCTCTGATTTGGAACGATGGCACGTTTAAAACCAAAAATTGGACAAAGATGATGATGTAGATGACGGTCTTGTATTAATTTGTATTGAAAATTAGATAAATTATTGACGACTGATTGATGGCATTTTGGTGGTAGCAATCCAAAGAATGCTGATAGGATTCTAAAACAAGGCATCATGGTGGATATTCTAATGGAACCACTTGGACTCGTGCAACAAAAAATTGAAATTAGGAATCTAATTCAATACATACAAGTTTCTAAGATAAATTCGATTAATTAATTTTATATACAACTTTGCTTGTCTTGAAAAATTGAAAAAAAAAAAATAGAGCAAGATATGGGAAAGATGTAAGATTAGAAAAGGAAAATGGAGATTCAAAAGCAAAGGAAGATTTTAAGTATTAAAGAAATGGCGTTTGATATGGATGGAGAAGGGAATGTTGCAGAGAGGAGGGAAGGTTCGAAGACATATACCGCATTTCTCTCTCTCTCTCTCCCCCTCTCTATTGTTTTATTTTGACAACAACAAGAGGAGGGAATGAAATTTAATTTATTTTAATTAGAAAAGTACCCCACCAAATAAGGAACATATCAGAATCGTAGCGGGATTATGACTAAAATACCCTCCTTTGGGTACTATTTGGCTGGTAGGAGATTTAAGAGTGGCACCGATAAATGCGACGGACATAATTATAAATCGGGAAAATCTATGATACCTGAGGTTTTGACCAGTCATGACCGCCATGAAATTTAATGAAATCCCACATAATTGGTTACTACTTTTATACTTTTATTTTATGATTAGCAATGACCCCTCGTACTAAGTACGAGGCCACTAATTTAAACTATTTCAATTTTTTTTTTAAATCATCTACATTAGGTTTTTTATTTTATATGTTATAGACTTTTATTTGATTTAAGAGACTTACCATATTTTATCTAGAAGAATAGGCCTACATCATTTATTATTTCATTTGAGACTCACAACTTATACTTATATGATAAATTTGGTTTTGGTTTCTTATTTAATTAGAAAATTAAATCAAGTTTAATTTGCAATTAACAACCTATGTTATCTAAAAATGGGGCCAACATCATATAAAGCCTTTATAATGGCTCTTTATTTAAGTTAGTCTCACATCTATTGTTTTTATCTATTTATTAATTATTTAATATTTTTCATTTAATTAACCATTTTCCTTTTATTAATTTATTATTTTTTTAATCCATTTATATAATATTTATTCATGTTTTATTATTTAACAATTTCATTAATTGTTCAGCCATTTTCTTATTTAAATAGTCATATCGAAGCCATTAAAACTGATTTAATGAAATAATATTATATCTTAGGCTCAGTTTGGAAGGAGTACAAATAAAAATATGTACAGTGCAAATATATTCAAAATAATACAAAATAAAAGGTTTTGCACTCTATAAATTTGTATTTATACTCTTTCCAAACTGAACCTTATATTGGAGTTTTAATGTGCATTTAGTGTGGCACCCAAAGCAACCCTTGTCGATGCTAGGCTTTGGTTGCCGCAATTGGTGCAAAGAGAAACTACTCACGAATTCGAAGGCTATTAATAATAAGTAGAAATATAATCAAATTTATTAATAAAATAATAATATTGGTACAAATCGATATTTGTTCTTTTGTAAAAGAAGAAGAATGAGAATCACCTTTAATGTTGTACTGGTAACACTGTATTTATATTCTGATAATCATAAAAAATGAAGAGAATTTGATCAAAACATTAACCGCTACACCAATACAAAAACGACCATTGACATCAACCTTTGCTTTTGTTTTCTATTCCATTTTTTCTTGCTCTTCTGTTTTTTTTTTTTTTTTTCTTTGTCTCCCTCTCTTCTTTCTTCCTCCATATCCTCCACCTCAGTTGAGTGAATATAGTAGATCTAGCCCACCAAGCTGAGAGCTTAACCTTTGCTCGACACCCTCTCTCCTCCTCCTCTTCTTCTTGTCATTTATCTTTATCTGCAACCTACATTGTAACAGAAACCAACTCTATAATAGACAGTATTATAACAAAGAGCAATCAACATTATAAGTAAAGTAGTCGATCTCCTACATTGCTTTACATTTTTTTAATATTTTTCTCTATTTCCTGCAATTGACCTTGTAATTGCATTATTTCGTTGTTGATCACTGCTATTCCATTTCTTAACATGGACAGCCTTCAACGACTATGGTGATGGTGTTGTGGCTCAAACCCAGATTTAGGACACATAGTCTTGATTCACTTTTTTACATCTCACAGCCATTGACTCCACTTGGTTTTTTTACTTCTTTTTTTCTTAGGAAAACTCCACTTTAGTACCCTGAACTTTGGGGGTAGTGTCAAGTTAGTACCTAAACTTTCAAACGTGTCACTATAGTGCCTAAACTTTCAAAAAGTGTTAAGTTGGTTCCTGTTGTTAATCGACCATCAGTTGAGGTGTTCATTGTCTTCTACCCTCCAAAAGAAGACACTGTTCATTGTCTTCTACTTTGAGACTGAACCAGTTGAGGTGTTTGAGATTCTAGACTAATAAAGTCATTGTCTTCTACATTTGAAACACATTTTTGTCTAGTTATTTCTTTGCTTTAAGTTATTGTTTCTCTCTATCATATTTCATGTTTTTTCTTTCTTTTTCTTTAAAGATAACTGGTTCAATCTCAAGGTAGAAGACAATGAACAATGTCTTCTTTTGAAGGATAGTTTTGACACTTTCAACAAATAAGTTACGGTTAGTTAACAACAGAAACCAACTTGACACTTTTTGAAAGTTTAGGTAATGCGGTGACATGTTTGAAAATTCGGGTACTAACTTGACACTACCCCCAAAGTTCAAGGGTACTAAAATGGAATTTTCCTTTTTGCTCTTCATCTGGAATCTTCTTTCATTCTTTGTTGTCATGCATTGGAAGTAGAGCTCTCCTTGTAGGTGTTAATGACATCTCTTTTGGAATCATGCTGACCGGTACTAATTCTACGTACACTACATTTGTGTAATTCATAATGAATTCAGACAACTACATTTAACATGTTTGCCAAAACTGAAACATAAAATTCTATAACTAAAAGCTAAAGTGGAGTTGAAATGTAAAACTAACCTAAATTGAAGTACGTGGCTAAAGTATGAAACATACAAAGTATCACCTCCAATGAAGTTAAGTTCCAAACTTGAGAGATGGCAAGTTTGATGCAAAGATTGTACTAAAGTTGAGTGTTTGAAACTGATCATAGGGAGAATGAAAGATTGAAAGAGAAAATTAAATGTAAAGGAGAAAATGCAAAAGAAGTACAATACAATGAATGGGGCTATAGAATGTGAATGTAGAGTGTTGAACAGGATGCTAAGTTCGTTTGAAAGTATAGACGTGCCACTGAGTTGGGTAGGTTCCAATTTCCCTCTCTATATCTCTCTCTTCTTATGGGTTGCCATGTGTCTTAAGATGCATTTTTTGCCTGAAAAGTTAGCATTTTTTTAATGTGGGCTTACCCACTCTCACTTTGTTGAAACGAGTAGATAGGTGTCTAAAAAGACTTTTTTTGAAGTTTAAAAACCCCACTTATGAGATCTTATTTCTTGAAATAATAGGATGCCAATTAATTGGTTATAAGCTTTCTCAATATCATGTCTTTGAGGCATTGTAGTCGAACGGGTTGGGACATTTTGTAAATCTGTGTATAGGGGTAAGCATGGGTGGATTCAGTTTGGTTGTAGGCAGAATCTGGAACCTACATTGTAGGGGTCGGTTCTATGTTCTTGGAACCAGAACCTATTCTATGAAGGTTGGCTTCAAGGTTAGTTCTAGCCTTGGTGGTTCTGGGGTTAGTATTCCAAAGTCTAACCATAGAACTTGTTCTTTCTTTACTCTCCCCTCTCCAAAAAATATGAAACATGTTCTTTAAAAACTTGATTTTTAATAATTATAATATATAGTTCAAAATTTTATACTATCTTTATTGATTAAATTGGGTAATTTAACATATTGATTATTATAATATATTAATATATGGTTTAAAACTTATCATTATAATTTAAATGTTGTTAATATTACCTTTTACAATACTTGTTATACACATCCATATATTAAAATGAACAAAAGACCCAATCACTTAGGTAACTTAATGGTCAAGTGAGACCATTGCCTTTGCAACCATGAGTGCTTGGGTTCAAATTTTTACATCCTTAAAAGTATTTTGTGATTAATTTCAAGGCAAGTTCAGTTCCAAGCTGATTCATTGGGGTGGTTTGAGTAGGATAAACCCCTAGACCTCAGAATTGACCTGAGTGGGGGTCAATTCCAAAAATTTGGATCCATACCTTACCCTGTAATAGATTGGATACAGTTAGTTCAATGCCAGTTTAAGGTTGGTTCCATTTGGTTTTGGGTAGAACCTACACATTTGCTCACCCCTAATTTGTGACACTTCATGTAAGGGTATCATGGTCAATTTAATTTTTAAAAGGCAGGCATTCCATGTTTGATGGGATTTCTTGCAAGCAAAAAATTCACACACATGGGAATCTAATTACACGTTGGGAACATTTCCCCATGCATTTAACATACATGTACAAAAGATGTTCTCAATGTGCTATTAGATATGACATGAACAAAGCTTGTACTTGCATGAGATCTAGACTCATTCCACGTTTATTTTCGAAAACATCACTTTAAAGTTTAAAGTATTTGGATCTAGTCCCAACATCCATTGAAGCCATGCGACGGTTGGTTGGTGTGTTAGGCAAAGAGAAACATCCATAAATCTGAGAAGAAGACGATTAAGGAGAATTAAAAGTTCCAAACTTCCAACACACATATATACAGTTATGTAAATCTGTCCCTCCCTAGACCCCACATTAATGAGAACCTTTGCCCTTTCTATGTGAGTAGAGAGTCTTATATTCCACGATTGTGTTTGCGCTTATACCACATGACACTTAACTAGAGTCAAATCCTTTGGTTTTTAGAATACTATACAATAAATTAAGAGGATTAGCTTTGGTTTCTTTTATTTTTTATTCACATCTACAATTACTTCAATTATATATTATAGCCAAATAAACAAAAAATACTTCATGAACTCATAGGATTTGGCAAAAAGTTTGTAAAATTGTAGCTACAACTTCCATAAAGAAAAAAAGAAAAATGGCAGTTCAAT